GCCAGAAGAGAAATTGCGGTTGCTTACTTTCACTTTTATATGTCTCTAGTGCTCGGTGAAGCTTGCAGGGCAAGGAAGTGAAAAGGAGTGGTTGCAGCCGTGGGCCTTTGAATGATTTGGGACTCTCCAGACTGCACATCATTCCCATTTGGTGTAGAGAGTTGGGAATCTGTCAACAGTTTTGTGGTGCCTTCGGTTATATATCTCCCTTGATGCTTTTCTGTGATGCCTAAACCAGCAGAAGATGGGACCCCTCTGTTCCTTGGTGGAAGGAATGTCTGTTCTAATTACTGTTGTGTTGTTTGGTTTGGACTGAATGCAGTGTAGGCTCCCGGAAGACCATTCCCCAGGTGACAAAGAGAGGTGGGCACACAGCCAAGAGACACGGAAACAAAACCCAGAGGAGCTCATGGGCTAATAGTTTGGGTGACAACCTGAATGAGGAGCTGTTTGTTTAGCCTCTGGGCTTGGGACAGACAGTTCTCTGCCCCACAAATGAACTAAAAACTGGAGACATCACTCAAACAAGAAACAGAAACTTAATGGGTGGCTCAAAAGAATGTGGAATTGCCGGGCCGGCATGGCTCAATGGTTGAGTGTTGACCTATGAACCAAGAGGTCATGGTTCGATTCCTGGTCAGGGCACATGCCCAGGTTGCGGGCTCAGTCCCCAGTGGGGGGTGTACAGGAGGCAGCTGATCAATGATTCTCTCTCATCATTGATGTTTTTATCTCTCTCTCCCTCTCCCTTCCTCTCTGAAATCAATAATAATAAAAAAAAATTTAAAAAAAGACTGTGGAAGTTTTGAGCGAGGAAGAAAAAGATGTCTCTCTTTGCTATTAGAACGATAAAACAATTCGGGAGACTGTTTTTATGTCTCCAGTGAAGGTAAACTGATCAGATGGAGAAGAAGTGGACTGGGTAGGGTTCCAAGGCCATAGAAATTTCTGGAATATGGACAAAAAGATTTTTAAAAAGAGAGTAGGAACTGATGTCTGTGGAGCACCAGGAGCTTTATTTGTATTATCTCATGTAATCCTCGCAGCGTTCTCAGAGGGTGGGTCTCATCACTTCCGTTGAAAGCTGGGAAGACCCACTTCCTAAAGAGCATGCCGCCCACAGGTGTGGCAAGGTCAACACACTCGACCTCTACTTTTCCTACTTCCTTCCTCTACGTCTGGAGCCAGGGTCAATCCAGGATTTCTGCAAGCTAGGAGACGACTCTGGGGGCACTGTAAGGAGTCTTGGCCCAGGGTTCCCACTGCTCAGTCAGAGGTCACACTGGGAAGCAGGTCAGGAGGGGAACTGGAGAGTCTGGAAATGGTCACCACTTACATCCTAGGGGCTTCATGTCATCCCCCAGCGACTGGGTGGAGGTGAGAGAACTCGAGACCCACACCACCCTTTCTGCAGCTGTTTGGAGCTGAGCCCTGTAATGTATCCATTCCTATGACCTGCCTGTTTCTTTTCCCCAGACGTTCTTCGGCACACCTTCACTTCCCTGGGCTTTGAAGTCCGGTGTTTCTCGTTTCTGACAATGGACCTTATGATTCAGCATCTTCGCCAAGTTGCCTGTCGGACTCACCACCAAGACAAGGACAGCTTTGTGTGCGTCCTGGTGAGCCGAGGGGGCTCGCAGAGCCTGTTTGGTGTGGATCAGACTCACTCAGGGCTGTCTTTGGATCAGATCAGGAGGATGTTCAGGGGAGATGCATGCCCTTCTCTCTTGGGAAAGCCAAAGCTCTTTTTTATTCAGAACTACGAGAAGTCAGAGAGTCACATGGAAGACAGAAGCCTCCCAGAGGTCGACGGGCTAGCAGCGAGCAACATGGATGCCAATGCCTGGCAGCCTGAGCCCTGCATGGTTCACCCGGAGGCCGACTTCTTCTGGAGCCTGTGCAAGGCAGATTCGTCTCTGCTGGACCGGTGCCCCACCTTATCGTCCCGGTACCTACAGTGCCTCTCCCAGAAGCTGCAGCAGGAGAGGTGAGCCGCCCAGGCCCTGACTGATCCCAGAGCACTAGATCACCACCACCTCAGTGATGGTTCAGCACTAATGGGTGCACAGAGCAGGGATGACTCTGTGTTCCAAGGTGGACACTCAGGGTGCCAGCGGCATTACTGGCCTTTTACATGTATCCTGCATGTGCACAGACAATCCACGTGGGTCATTGTTTGATTCAGTTGCCCCTTGGTGAAGGGGACTGAAGTCACGTGCCAGAGTGCTGCCCGCTGGCTTGAATCACTCACTAAGCAGCTTGTAAAGTATTTAGAAAAGAGCACTTTTCCATCAGTTGGCTCATTTAAAAAAAATATTTTTTAGCCTGACCAGCGTGGCTCAGCAGTTGAGTGTCTACCTATGAACCAGGAGGTCATGGTTCGGTTCCCGGTCACAGCACATGCCCAGGTTGCAGGCTTGATCCCCAATGGGAGGGCATACAGGAAGCAGCTGATCAATGATTCTCATCATTGATGTTTTTATTTCTCTCTCCCTCTCCCTTCCTCTCTGGAATCAATCCCATATAATAAAAGAGAAAAATGCAAATTAACCATCCCTCTGCTATTCCCACCAGCCAATCAGAGTGATTATGCAAATTAACCCGACAAAGATGGCGGTTAATTTGCCTATGCAGGTGTCAAGCGCCCCAGGAGGCAACGGCGGCCATTGCTGGCCCAGGAGGTGAGGCCAGGTGTGCCTAGCCATGCCTGTGGGCTCCCAGGAACTTGCCGACAGAGAGCAGAGAGGAAGAGTGAGCGGAGAGCGAAAGGTTTGGAGGACTTGGCAGAGCAAGAGACTGCTGGACATAGAGCAGAGCGAGAGAGAGGGTGGCATGGAGTGTGCGGCTCCCTCTGTCACCCCAGCTTCCTCATCACAGCTGTGGAAACTGACAGCAGGGAGGAGGAAGTCCTACCCCCACAGAATCAGCTGGAATCAGCTGTTGGTCAGACAGCTCTCAGTGGCCTGACAGCCAGGACTCTCATTCACCTGCATCTCAGACCATGACAGTAGAGAGGTGGGACTATGTCTAAAGAACAACTGTTGATACAACGTAGCTCTGCAGCCGAAAGATGCTGGTGTTGTCAACAGACAGTGTCTGCAGAGCAGCATGCATCTGATCTTGAAAGAAGGCGGCCCCTGCGACAGGATGTATCTGAAACCCAGCTACTGGAAAAACATCACTCTGATGCGGAAAAACACTGGTGTTATCGACAGAAAATGTCTAAAGACCAACGTGCCTTTGAAGTTGAAAAAAGGTGGTGGCAACGACAGAATATGTCTAGAGAACAGTCATCAACAAGTACTACCAATACCGGTAGGAACTGCCTTCTCAGCAAAAATGGAGTACATGATGATGCAATCTTTAAACATAGTTGTGGTGGAATGACTGTTCGATGCGAATTTTGCCTATCACTAAATTCCTCTGATGAAAAACCATCCGATGGGAAATTTACTCGATGTTGTAGAAAAGGGAAAGTCTGTTCAAATGATATACATTTTCCTACCTGGCATATTTAAAAAGATTAATGACAAACGAAGATTCTGACAGTAAAAATTTCATGGAAAATATTTGTTCCATAAATAGTTCTTTTGCTTTTGCTTCCATGGGTGCAAATATTGCATCGCCATCAGGATATGGGCCATACTGTTTTAGAATACACGGACAAGTTTATCACCGTACTGGAACTTTACATCCTTCGGATGGTGTTTCTCGGAAGTTTGCTCAACTCTATATTTTGGATACAGCTGAAGCTACAAGTAAAAGATTAGCAATGCCAGAA